CGAAAATCACAAAACAACCAACCCACCAGTAACACCTCCATCACCGCCAGATCCACCATATCCAACCACATATATATCTCACGGCGTTGAGCTGAAAAGCGTCTCCAACGCCACCTACACCACCACACTATCATCGAACGTACAACCGCCGCCACCGTTTCGCTGTACAGACCGCCACTGCTCCGCTTCGTGGCACAGATCGCCGTTGCAGAGGCTCCGCTTCGCTATTGAAGATCGTCGTTGCAGATCGCCAGACATCCGCTGCTCCGCTTCATGGCACCGTTTCGCTGTTGTAGATCGGAGGGTGGCGTGTCTCGCTGGACCGAATGGAGAAGAAAGATAGAAGAGAGGCCTCGCCCGCTCCTGATCTGCAGCAGCGTGTGTCTCGCCAGACAAAATGTAGAAGAGGGGTAGAATGGAGAGAGGGGGAGAGAGAGAGAGACGAGAGGTTTAGAGAGAGGGGGTTTGGAAGAGAGAAAGGATGGGTTTGGGAAACGGTATTGAGGAAACTGATTTATGGTTAATTATAGTACTTGATTTTTGCTTAATTAAAGTTTGTACTTGATTTTTGCAAAGTGATCTTTAAATACCTGGTGTTTTGTAATTTCCTCTATCATTCCCCCAACTCGAGCCCAATTAACTGAAGAAACTCCACACTTCAAAACGTGTACTTAAAACTGTTGGATAATTGTTTCAAAAGCTTCACAAAACATAATATAAGATTGAGTACCTGATATNAAAAAAAAACTTTTAACACGAGGCCTGTGTTACACACAGTTTCCTTAAAATAGATTCGTCATCTTACCGTATGTGCTTGAAGTGTAATTTGAGCGTCTGCTTCCCAAGATTCAATGGTGGAACAGTAGAATTTGAGCACCACAGATTTTACTTCGATGAACTGAGTTAGAGCCCGAACAATATCATCACCAGACTCAAATAGACAAAACTTGAACTGTATGAAGATGAATTCTAGTACTGAAAAATGGGAAAAATCAAGGTATATATGAATTTTGGATCTTGTAACTTGCCCACTTACACTTAGGCTCTTCTAAGGGACCAATTTTTTGTCAATCCAGTCCGATATTCGTGTACGCAAGTCGTGCACGTACACAAGTTCAAGATCCGATGCCTATTTCGGTCCGTGATTTGCACACCCCCTGCGCGTGCACGTGGAGAGAAACTCTATACTACACATGATTACATCATTCTAAAATGCAATCCTTTATAAAGTGTTTTAGTTTTCATCCACTTCCTATGTAGGACAAACTTATTTTTAGTTTTCCCACTAACATAAACTATTTTCACATTGTATACTTTGAGCTTCAATTTTTCATTCACCCAGCATCATTTTTGACAAATAAATATATGATTTCAATGTACTCACAGAGGAGAACACAAATCAACTTTTATCTTCCAAAATAGTCAAACGGGTCCCGCTCAAAATTCGTGTCAAAGTCACCCACAAACTCAATTTTTTCCAACATAAACAGCATTAGATTTTTAATACTCAAAATTCTTATTGAGAGTACGTCTTACTTCATGTGGCGAATTCACACCTACAATCAATTACCATGCCATTTTCTACATTTCTGTTGCCATCAGTCAAGAAATCAATGTTTAAAGATCAATAATGGTGGAAAAAAGTTGGGTGAAAAATAGTATTGTATTACAACATTACATAAAAAAGATCACGATAACAATACACTAGTACTACACGGCATGACCTGAAGAAAGAACTGGAATCAAATCTAGAAAACCAATTCATAAAAATGTCACGCTACATGTTCTTATTTTTCTTACCTTCCTCGGACTACTAATTTAATTTCATCAATCTGTATCGTGTCTTCTCTTTTCCTTCTCTTTGTTGTGTTTCCTCTTGTTGTCATCTGAAGCACGAGAGTGTCGATTCTCTCGCTTTTCGTGCTTCTTGCGTTTCTTCTCCTTACGTTTTCTTCTCTTTCTGTTACTTTCTTCTTCGGTCTCTTCATCATCATTCCTTACAGGTGCGATTAGCATGGGATTATTCATCTTCTCAAGTGACTCGGACTCCAGATTGGCAGGTAAACTTGATTCTTCCCTAGGCCGGGGAACCCTGGCAGTGTGCCAAAAGTCAAAAAGAAACTGGAATTCGTGAGGGGTTTCTTTCGAGAGAATGGAGAGTGGAGCAAGTAAAAGGAAAACATAATTCTGAAAGTATCATACCTAGATGAACCAAGACCCTGAACCTAAGCAGCTTCAGCATGGCCAGCTCCCAAGTCTTCTGCAATAGAAACTCGTTTTACAAGTTCAGCAAATTCATGTTTATCTAGTCGATTACCTTAAGACTTTTTTGCCCGTTTAGGGCTAAGCCTAGAGCCTCTCTCATGGCTTGCTCCTCTTCCTCCTTGATCCGTTGTATCTCTTCTTTAATAGGCACTGAATTTGTAGCCTCAGATTTTTTATCACGGGCATACCAGTGGAGGTCTTTCCCTATAAGAATATAAATTCAGAAATAATATAAATCAGAAATAGACCAACAATTCATGTGTTGCAAAAGCTAAAAACTTAAGGTAAAAATCACTCAAAAGTGCAGTTTCAAAGTTAACTGGCAGGTACACCAGAACTTTATGATGCAAGCCACAATTTATCAGAACAGGTTAACCATGGCTGGAAATGTTTTCTGTAAGAGGCATGTAGACTTCATAATGTTAGTGCCAACACCATAAATCTCCAGGATCTGTTTTCCACTTGGAGTGTTATGTTACTTTATCTGTTCTTCTGAACAGCTGAAACAGGCAAGAAGTCAATTTTTACAGAGTCCTCCTACGACCAGTATTCTTATTGTCATACCTTAAGTTCTACTTGGGATGCTTAAATTAATTTTTAATTTTAATATTCCGCCACAATTACTCTCTTTTCCGAAGTTATAACAGGTTTTGAAGTCTTTAGGGTCTAGACACCAGAGACACTATAAATATGCCTCTCATTATTTCAACCACATTACACTTGAATAACAATTACCTTTGGTACAAAAAGTTCTGGTTTGATAGCAATTATGTCAATAACAGTAATTACTAGTGTGTATATAATGTCCACCAATATCAATTTGTCCTTTCAATCTCTTCCACTATTTCGTTGGTAAAGCATGTCCGCAAGTCAATTTTGTCTCTAATTTATCATGCCAATACTTTGAGGCAGCTGAAAATCCCAGGGTGAGCTAAGCTCAACAGCAGAAACAGCAAAAAAAGATGCAAAAGGGAATAGAGCATCTCACCAAAGAGATGGAAAACCTGTGTAGAGTTGTACAAAGCCTTAAGTGGGGTAGAAGAGTCCTTTCTTTCCATAATCCCATTGTTCATACGAATCCCGAAAATGTTGGAGGCTTGGAGCAGCAACGCATTTTGCAAAAGTTCTTGATCTCAATTCAGAGTTCGAATTGAAGTTTCAAATTTCCATAGAAGAATGCAAAGAGAAGACTTCATTGATTTTGATGCAAGCTTGGAGAATTATTTAAAAATGGAAGCAATTTTTTAGAGAATGAAAATTATTCATGGTGATGATGATAGTTTGAAACTAATAAGAGTTGTGCGACAATGGTGGAAACAACTTAAAGAATAGGGATATCACGGCAAGGAAACCAGATATTCTCAATCGGGAATTGACGAATGCAAAATTTGAGGAGCCATTTTGCCAGTTCTAATGGGTTTGCATAGATGATACAGGACAGCAGTTTGAATCGATGGGACCTTAGAGTTAAAGAGTATTACAGGAATCCAGTAACCTCTAGAAGTTGGCGTACACGAGACTCATGAGCAACTCACAAATAGTAATTTGTCAGGTTTGAGTTGCCATAAGTGACCATATGATAACATGAGCATTACTCTTCTTTCCAACCATGAAGATGCATAAAAATATGCTATAAAAATGGAGGAAAGACTGGGTCGATACAGAGATAGAAATACAATATATATTCCTACGGTAACCACCATACTCATTTTGGGGACAAAACTATTCAAATCACTTCTATCAGGACCAGACAAGCAACAACAATTGGAATTTGAAAGATTTCACTTTCTGTAATCCTACTAGTAATTAACATCTGAATTGAAGCATCGAAGTTATGAAATTCAAAGCGGAAATATTGGGATTTGCTTAGGACGCTTTTTTCATTCTAGTACACTGTTTGGAACCTCATCACAACCATGTGTAATGAAATTAGATGTATATGAATTGCAATTTCATTAAAGCTGTTCCATAAAACATTTGATGGAACCGATTCCAGGCTCTGAAGTTCGATCTTCACCCCATAAATTGATGCAGGTTGTAGTGGGATAAGAAGTATTTGGTTTATCAGCATGTGCAATGTCTCGGTGATTACCGAATACAGAGGGAGAATCAGTTATTGAGTTGTGAGAAACAAGCTGGAGCGAATGAGTCTTTTTTTAATGGTGATAAATTAATATCATTTGTTCATGGAAAGTTAACGAGACATAATTCCTCACTGAAAGATCCAAGGCAGGGTTATAACTTGTAAACTTCAACCAATAATTCTGTGGTTAGTTACCTCCATAAGTTTTATTGTGCTTCAGAGACAGTACCGTGTGGGATTGGGACAGCTTCTCTACCATATCCTTTGTAGACATACGATATCCGTATTGTAGATCTTGAGCCTGTACTATGGGTCGAAAGTGGAAATGGGTGCTTTTCCTTTCATGCCTACCTAATGTTTCATCCAGTTAAAATTGATTGAATCAAAGTTCAGTAAAATGGATTCACTTAATGAGATTGTGTGGCTCAGAAGTTGTTAGCACTATATATTATCGGCTCTATAAGAATTTTAAAAAAAACAATTATATAGTGGAGGATGAGATGGGCATTGGCTCTTCCAAAGCAAACATTACCTATAAGTTAATGGCTGGGCATAGGCCCGGGTCGTTAAAAAAATTGCACATTTTTATAACAATGCGGTTCATGACCATGGCCAACCAGATTTGGCCTAACAGCCCTGACATGCTCCATGCAAGAATCGGTCCGTAGAGTTAGCTTATATACTGTTTAGGTGTTGCGTCCCAATGTAGATTTCTGTCGTGTCCTCAACGTTTCGAACCCAAGGCTTTTGCTTATGAGATACTTAAGTTGAAATTTGGTACCAATTGGGCAAGCTACGAACGTGGACCATGGTCGGTGCCGAATCCGATGGGCTATGGTCGGTGCCATATTGTTACACATGAACCCAAAATAAACCTGGAATAAGTGTCCTTACTGTTNTTTTTTTTTTTTTTAATTGTAATAGTCTCTTATTTCCCATTATAGGACAAGATCCGTCTTGGCAGCAGCAAGTCTTGTGCATTTCTTCTTTGTGTGGAGATTTAATTTTGTTGTTCGAATCTTTATCCTCCACAGTTTCTGTATTCTTAGGTTTTTCCTCTTTGTCGTCTGTAGACTGTGGCTCGTAGGGTACAAGTTTTGCCTTGTTTCTAATTTTGCATAAATAAGTTTGATGAATGTAGCTGGCTCCACTGTTCCTGAGAGGGATACAAGATTTCTTCTGTATTTATAGTGTGTGAAGAGACACCTAGTACACACAAAAACATAAAAAGCAATTTGTTCTTCAAAATCAAGACTAGATTGAAATTATGCAAAAGATAAAAGTATACACAAAACCCTAAACAGAATGAGCAAGAACTCGAGCAAACTGTAGTTGTATTGAAAATAGTAATTACCTGTGAGTTTGAACAATGCTTTCTCCAGTGTCTTTGGACATGCTTCACCGCCACTGAGATTCACATTCAGTACAATCTTCTGCAATAAAGTAACAAATTGATGAAGGTTTAAACTATAGAAACATAGAATATAATGTAAAAACATGCACATTACCGTGTCGAGAGCTGATTTTCCATTGGAAGAAATTTGAAGAAGAAGATAATACGAAAAGTTTCAGTAGGCTGAATTTAGTTCGAGAGAGTAAGTTAAAAGATGACAGAAAAATAGATTACATTATAATTAATTCGCCTAATGGTAGGTGTAATTAAATATTAGCCATTTTCAACGTTCTATCATTTGCATCTAAATACTACAAATTGTAATTACCATATGCAGATGCGATTTTTGTTTTCAATTTAACTTAAGGTTGACTTATAAGCCATATTATTGCACAAAAAAATATTGACATTATTATAAGTGGTATTACTCTATTTTATGTTTCTTATTATCTCCTAAATGCCATTTTGATTAATATATACTAATTTCCTTACTATACTTTTTCAAACAATCTATATCTCATATTCTCTTCCTAAATTACATACTATCTGTGCACATTACAATTTTTTTTATAGTACTGTACGGTTTTAACATTCAATTAAAACGAATTTTCAATTTGCACTATACTTAATTTCGTTGGTGTCGCCACTATATTGCTGAAATGCCCATGTATGCCCCTGCGGCTGGAAAAGGATCGGATATGGATCGAATATGTTCATATCCGACCCGATAATAGATTCGATCCGATAATTCAACGGATATTTGATTTTTAAATCAATATCTAATTTGCTATATTATCGAATATCTAATCTGATAATCCAATCCGAAAATTTTAAAAAGAGGAGATTCTCAATTTCAATAAAAAAAAAATTATTATAATAAATTAATGTTATATTGAAATTTGTTAGGATTCACATTTTTCATTAAAAGTCAAAAAGTATAATACACGTTTTAAAATGAAAAAAAATTATGTGATAAATTATCCAGTAATATATAAAATATATTATATTTTTATAACAAATCATATCGGATTGATCTATATCCATATTTGCTTCATTTAGTTAATAAATCATTGGATTCAGATCTTGATCGAATTATAGAACAGACCCTGAACCCATCTCCCACTAATTTCATTGGTTTCGGATAAAATTCAGATCAAAATCTAATCCATTGACAGTCTTATTTATCCATCGTTTTTGCTTGCATCTCACGTGGACCACCCGAACAACCAACGTTGCAGTCTTTGGAAAGCAAAAATTTTAGGCTGTGCCAACGCCGTGAATCAAGTTTGGTACATTCTATCCCGTATCAGCTCTACTTCTTCACAGTATGCTGAACAGGAGATCATCACCAAACATTGCATTTCATGAATTCAGTACCCAAATATAGACAGGGCATAAAAATCTATTGCCAAATTTGATTTGCCTACAGTGGCAATTCTAATACAACAAGAATCAACCAAAAATATTGAAAGGTAAAGATGGAAAACGAATTTCAGGCAAAAACACTACACAGCGTAACTAGTCGGACACCAATTTCCGTTTCCAAAAGCCAAACAAGCAGAACCCACAACATTGATCATAAAAATCTGATATGTAGATACAAATATAATCCCCAGAAATACTGATGAAAATGGAAAACATGAAACATACGAAAAGAATCAACTACAATCAAATCCAGTGTCAAACTTCAACTGTAAATAATTACCCTTTATATTTTACATCTAAAATTTCTTTATGCACCCAAAAAAAAGGGAAGAGAAAAAGTATTATTCACACTAAGCTCTCTAATCTGCCTATCTGATCCTCTTAACTGTCAGCTTTAAAAAAATATTAATTTACAAGTCGAGCTGCTAATTTCTGGTAACTACTGTTATGTGTGCGGATTATCTGGGTTCTTAATTCTTCATCTTGGCATAGGAAAGCTAAAATCTTGATACCCTCCTTGATCGGGGAGATGGACAGGTGGAGGCACTGTTACACTATTATCAGCTGTCGTAATGTCATGGATGCTCGACCTTTTTCTCTCTTTTTTCACGGCTGTTTGACGAAGATAATATTTCTGTGCATGACTAGCTACTTGTGTTGGTGTCCTCGTATCTACTACATTTCTTGAATTGCTTCTCCAATCACCTTTGCCATATTTGTTGAGCCCGATTAAAAACAACCTACAAATATGAGTCAATGCATTGATATTATCATGTCACAACTTAGGAGAAACAAACAGAAGGATTTCACATCTAATTATTCAGATTTAAAAGTCAAGAGCATGCATGAGAAAATGTCAAAGAACCATCATGATTAAGCATTATCTGCTGAAAAAAAATAAAAAACCACACCGTTGACTTTTTCCTCATTAGAATTTCTAAACCACGGCCAAATAGAGAGTACGTCCCATATAAATAAGCTTTAATTTAGTTATATCCATACTAAACTGTGACAACTGGTTCCACCCGACATTAAGCATCCTACTTCGTATAAATATCTAATCAAGATTCAACATTCAGTGTGTCTCACATGAATAATCGGATCATAGATTTCACAGGAAATCTGAAAAGGTCGAGGTATTTTTTTTTTTTTTTTTTTTT